CACAGGGAAAATTTCGCAGTCCACTTTCCTGTATAGCCTCATGAAAACCTCTGAGCTTCCACTTGTCACGGATTTTGTCACGGAAATCATGTGTGACAAAGTTTTGTCACGGATTTGGTCCGTGACAAAGGTTTTTGGTGACATGGAAGATAAATCTGTGACAAAATCCGTGACAAAAATCCGTGACAAAAACGTTTTTTTTGAAGTGTCACTCATCGAAATAATGTTTATAAGGCAATTGGAATCAATTTATTTTCTATTAAGCTACTTTTATGCGATGAAAATGTATCATTAATGCAACCAGTCTTTTATTTTTGTTATACACTGTTTAGTATTTTTGCAATCTAATATGAAATCCTAAACTAAATTTTTTAACGGCATCACTTACTCTATCATGACAGTCAATATTTACTTTTTTTTGGAACACAGTCAATATTTACTTTATTATTCTTTTGGAGCTCATGATTTTTATAATTCTATTACTCATTACTAATTTATTTTGAAAGGTATTAGTCGATCATTACTAATTAAACTAATATAAGATTGTACTTTTTATATTAAATTAATGGATTGCAGATACTTATCTTAAATAAAAATAATACAAGAAAAAAAGTATGGTGTTGGAGCGATCTAAAAAATCATACTAATAAATAAAGTTGTATTGAATGATGAAATAGTAAACTAGAATCTTACTTCGTACTTCGTTTATTTACACACCTATTATTATATTTAAAACAAGTACCAACAAATTTTGTGGCGCAATAGGTAACGTTCGACGTGATCTCAGATCAAAATTGTAATCCCGATCATGTTATAGTATGAAAAATAAGGAAAGTTCTAATAAAAACCAGAAACCGTGCAAAGACGAGAGATTTAAATCCCAATTGTGTCTTTGTTTCAGAAAACCAACAACTATTGTTTAGAACTATTTAGTTGGTTCAGAACTATGTCTACAATCCATAGATAAATGTCTGCCATTGGATAATCTGTTTCCAATTAATAATAATAATTTGAACAAACTAGACAGAATAGTCCACTCATACACCCAACCCGAACCATATATGCGGCAGTTCCCCCGTTTAACAAAACTTCTGAGTCCGCCACGGAATACAACAATAGACTATGATTCTTCTATTACCAAAATATGAGTGATATATATATATATATGTATATATATATATATCCTTTCTTCCTATTCTACCCCTTCCTATAAGTTCTAATAGATTTATTTTATTAATAAGAAAATAATAAAAATATATATAATAATATAAATATTTATAAATTAATAATAAAAACGCAAAAAAATAAATTAAAAAAATGAAAGATAAAAATAATAAAAAAATATTTAAAAAAATTTAAAAAGTCTTAAAATATAAAATAAAATACCTAAAAAAAATAATAAAAATAATTAAGTCACTGCCATTGCATCCTCCACCTCCCAGCAACTAACACCAGTTTGATCATTGGAAAAATGTCATTTTGTGTAAAAAGAAACGCCACATTCCTAATAAAAATACCATGAAGATGACATTTTCACTCTTCAAAAAAATTTAGCTCTCTTTTAAAATTTGCTATCACGGTGACATTTATTTTCAGCTTGGCATTCTTTTCTGGCGACTGGAGGTGGCGGTGCTGGAAGGTGACTAAGGTGGTGGTGGTTGAGGCCTGTGTATTTTTTATGTTTTTTTTTTACTTTCTTTTTTATACTAGTATGTTTTATTATTCCTTTTTAAAAATCCTATTAAGAATGACAAAAGAATTGAATGAGTAAAATAGAAAGAGTTAGTGCTATTTAGGAATTTAAATTTTAAGCTCTTGGTGTTGCAATTTTTCCTTTACTTAGAGGCAGTTTGACAACATTGTTTTTTGGCCTATCTGGCTTATCATACAACTTTTTCATCAAACATGTAACTTTTGTTTTCTCGCTCTGAATTGTGTAATAATAAGAAAGTAAGACTGGACTTACTTTTCTGGCTGTATTGGTTGAAGTTACTGTAGATGACCATTTTAGATATGTTACATATAATTTTTTCTTTATTTTATTTATAAAATATATTTTAAAAATATAATGCAACCACTTCAGTCAAAACATCATAAATTTATGCATAATCAGTTGAATCAATCGATTTTCGTGTTACCAAACGGGCTCTTATTCTTGTTTACACAAATCTCTATAAAAAGTACTCCCTCCGTCCCTAAATGTTGTTCCAATTGCGGATTACGAAGGTTGACCGACGATAAAGTTAAATGATCCCTGTAAAAACTCGGATTATTTTTAGTAAATAAAATTTACATATTCAGAAACTACATTAAACCCGCTACAAAGACTGTAAAAAATAATTCAACTTTTATAAAATGTTGATATAAAAAGTAAGAGTTTAAGAGTGATTTATGTTGACCCTCAATAAGTGAAATGGAACTTATTTTAGGGACGGAGGGAGTACTCAATATTACGTATGTACTTGATTACTGAATACAGAGAGTAAACCAGGCCATTAACTCCTTTTCGAAAGCTTTAATTAATTATAGGCCAATTTCTTAAAAATCGAAACACCAAAATGTAAAAAATATTAGGGGTGTTTGTTGGTTTCGGTTTTATCGATTCTGTTTTGGTCGAAGGCTTTAAGTCGGTCGGTTTTGATTTTTAATCGGTCGGTTTTAGCGACTTTTTGAACATTTGAATCAGAGAATCATACCAAAAAAATTGAACCGTTTTGGTTGATTTTTATCAATTACGATCTATTTTAGTTTGTTTAGTTTGGGTCAATTTTGATTTGATCAGTTTTGGAATTGAAAAGTATAAACCGTATAAACCGTAAACAGTATAACTAACAAAATAGTCCATTTCAATCTTCGATTTTAGACTTTGGGTTGGTTTTAACGAATCGGTCTTTTTGGTCGATTTTGATTTTTGTAGATTTCGATTTTAACGGATTGTTTTCAGTATGTGGGTTTCGATTTTCCCAATTTTTTTTGTTCACGTCTAACTAGTACTCGTGAAAGTTCAGAATGTACCATGCAAGTTGATTTGATGGCTGTATCGTCAGAATCGTAACCACTACGAAGCATGACATCCATTAAATCTTTCTCGCCGCCGCCGCCGCCAGTTCCTTCTTCTTTGAGCCGGCGGCGATGTTCCCGTAACCATTGGTCAACGATCAAGTCCATTTCTTTAGCCACTCCTTTCATGGCTTTCTCATACCCGCCGAGATCTGACCATCCCAAGATCGGCAGGGCATCCGCCGGAACAGCGACCCCAAGATAGTGAAAAAAGTCTCTCAAAACCCTTTGGCAACGCCGGCCGTCATCATCATCACTCCTCTCCGCCGCCCGGCCAAAACACCGCTTCCCGGCGATCATCCGAAGGAACACGTTCATCGATACGTCTCCGAACCACTTCTTCATTTCCACCAAAACAGGGACTCGATCTCCGCCGCCTGCGGCGGGGTTCTTTTCCCTCCAAATATCATAAAGCTCTTTGACGGCGGTTTCGATCTCGGAGGCTCTGACGTGCTTCAGCTGGTCGAGCCGCCGGTGGGAGAGAAGCTGCGTGGAAGTGAGCTTCCGGATATCTCGCCAGTACGGACCGTACGGTGAGAAGCCGAACATCTTGTAGTCGTAGCCCAAGTGTTTGGCGGCGCGAAACCTCGGACGCTCCGAAACGCTGAGGTCGTGGGAAGTGAAAATTTCTTGGGCCCATTTCCGGTCGCTGACGACCAACACTCTCTTCATGCCGATCCGGATAGTGAACGCCGGTCCGTACTTGTCGGCCAATTCTCCGAGGGCCACGTGGGCAGGGACGGCGCCTCTGAAGAGGTGAAGGTGGCCGAAAACAGGCCTCCCTCCGCCGGCTTCCGGCGGTGACCTCTGTTTCCAGTTATTTGACCGTTGACCGACATAGTGGAAAACTATATAAAAACAACCAATTGCTACAGCAAATATCGAGTAAGTTATCAGGTCTAGGGCAACAAATTCCATGATGGCTATACTAGGACGGATCAAATCCTCTATGGCTCTATAAATAAACTTTTCAAACTTATAGGGCCTTCGTTCTCTTTTAAATTTTCCATTTTTTTTTACTAATAAAGAATGAAAGATATTAACGGTCTAACTTGTGTGATTGCAAACAAGAAAAGTGACTGTTGCAATTAAAAAAGAATGAATAAAATATAAAATATTGACTTTACACCCTACTTTTTAGGTGATATGAGATTTTGCACCTTATTTTCCAAAACAAAATGAGTTTGCACCCTAGCACCCAATCTTTTGTCAAGAAACATTTCGGAATAGGGTGCAAAGTCAATCGTTTTTAATAGAAATGAGTTGCAAACTCAATTTTTTAAAATGAGGTGCAAAGTTCAATATCACCTAAAATGTAAGGTGCAAAATCAAAATTCCCCTTTTATCAAACATTCAACTTTTTTTTTGAAAGAATCCAACTTTTTATTTGACGGGTGTAATAATAATAATAATACGAGTAATGAAGATTCAAATTACTTGTTTTGACAGTACTGGTTAAAGTACTTCTAAAAGACCATTTAGCTATTTTTTAGTATAATTTTTTCATTATTTTATTATTAAATCATACTACCTCCGTCCCTTTTTATTTAGCCAACTTTGACTTTTCCGGTCAAAGATGATAAACTTTGATCCATTATTTTAACTAATATATTTATGTAAAAGTTAATAAATTTATACTTTTATGATAGTATTTTCAACAAAGAACATTTTCGTATTATTTTCATATTATTAATATTACGTACCGTGTATAAATATATAATCGGTCAAAGTTGAACAACTTTGACTTCAAAAACAGTGTTTGGCTAATAAAAAGGGACGGAGGGAATAATATTTTAATAAAATTATACTATGTATTTACAACATATTTTATTAATTATATAAAGAAAAAAATATGAAAAATAGCTAAAATGATTCTCTATTGCAATTTCAGCCAGAAAAATATCTTCAACCTTAAATATTTTGATTATTACATAATTCAACGCACAAAAAACTTACATGTTTTGGTGAAAGAGTTGATTGATAAAGTTGATAAGCCAAAAAAATGTGGTCACTAAACCGGGTCATAGGCGAAGTTTTTTATAGATACAAACAAAATTGAAGTGCATCTAATCCATCACTCTTTACTCTATGAAGTCATAAGAGAAAAAATTGTTTTTCATATGATTTTCATTTTCACTTTCCTACAAAGTACAAACTATATACGATAGTATATGATCACACAAGTACTTTGCGTGCGTATAGTTATATTAAATTACCTCGGTTCTATTGGACATTGCAAATTTTGAATCAGATGAAAAATAGAAAAAATAAAACTAATGTGGTTGAGTTTTGTACAGAATCACAATTTTGTTTGGACGAATGAGTATTACAATAATAGCTTTCATTTGGTAACAATTTGATGGTACGTAATATATCTAGAAAACATTCAATTTGATTACAATTATGAGCTTGGTCTACTTGCATGCATTGAAGTATTGCGCATTTGCGCCCACAGATGAAAACGATGACGACTTGGTACTTGGGAGGTGACCTAATTTTACGCCCAACATATATAACCAAAAAAAAGTAAGTACATAATTCAAATCTTGGAACCGTATTGTACTGTCGTGTGATATCATTGCCAATTCATACCTACTTTGCCAAAGAAAACTATCGGAACGCTCACAAACCGAACAAAACTAAGAAACTAGGGACGTAAAAAAAAAATTGGCATGCATTGGTATCAAACTCAAGTTCTCAACCATATGTTACCGAATTGGAAAAAGGAATTTTATCTATTCAGGATTCGAAAGATAGACGAATTATCAATCCGGGATCTGAAAGATAAAATGTATCAATATAGGACCCGGATGATGGAAAACTATCCATTTAAGGATCCGAATGATTGAAAATTATCAATCCTAGATTGATAGTTTTTCATCATTCGAGTCTTATACCGATACATTTCATCTTTCGATCGGGTCTCGGATTGATAATTTATTTATCTTTCGGGTCTCAAATTAATTAATCTATCATTAATAGTTTTCCAATAACTGTTTCACGCTGAATGAGAATCGATACCGGACAAGACCGTAGTACAGATTCAAAGTTCATTTGTACATAATATATTTCTTGTAATAAGTCGTCCTTAGCACCGATATACGGAGTACTCCTTTTCTTAACTAGTTCACTGATCACTGCTATTGCACTCAACTTGGTTATTACTTTTTAGCTTAGCTAGTTCATATTTGGTTGTGCTTTAAACGTAACTCTTTAATTTCATTGTTAAATTAGCAATGTAAAACTTGAAAGTTTAGCTACTATACATACCAATGGAGATAAAAAAAGATATTTCAAATTCATACATCTATTTATATATAAGAAAAGAAATAGCTCATTAAAAGACATTATTATCCCTCCACTAGTAGAAAATATGCATTTTATAACTACCTTTTTATATGGGTTTGAAAATAGCCGTTATTGTATGCAGACACGGGGTTCGTTTTATGATTAATGAAAGTTTCATGTGTTGTTCGGAGGCTTAAAATGTAATATTAAAATCTTATCTATCACAGTTAAAATAATGCCCGACATTGAAAGCTGAGACGGGGTCAACATTATAATTTGTGTAAACTTCAGTTAGACACGGGGTCTCTTTCATAATTTTTAAAAGATTTAAGTTTCATATTCCGCATATACGTCTTTAAACGAAAGCAACAGAAACATCAAAACCTAAGCTGGAGTCCGCTGGTTCAAAGACATAGCTGCCTAGGTGGTGGCACGAAGCTCGACCAACCGCCGCTCCTCCATCTCTAACTCTCATATGTTCATCACTCCGCTGCTCCTTCCGGTAACTAATTCTCGATTCTGTCAGGCCGCTCTTCGTACTTGTCGGCCAATTCTCCGAGGGCCACGTGGGCAGGGACGGCGCCTCTGAAGAGGTGAAGGTGGCCGAAAACAGGCCTCCCTCCGCCGGCTTCCGGCGGTGACCTCTGTTTCCAGTTATTTGACCGTTGACCGACATAGTGGAAAACTATATAAAAACAACCAATTGCTACAGCAAATATCGAGTAAGTTATCAGGTCTAGGGCAACAAATTCCATGATGGCTATACTAGGACGGATCAAATCCTCTATGGCTCTATAAATAAACTTTTCAAACTTATAGGGCCTCCGTTCTCTTTTAAATTTTCCATTTTTTTTAATTTTTTTTACTAATAAGGAATGACATATTAACGGTCTAACTTGTGTGATTGCAAACATGAAAAATGACTGTTGCAATTAAAAAAGAATGGATAAAATATAAAATATTGACTTTACACCCTACTTTTTAGGTGGTATGAGATTTTGCACCTTATTTTCCAAAACAAAATGAGTTTGCACCCTAGCACCCAATCTTTTGTCAAGAAACATTTCGGAATAGGGTGCAAAGTCAATCGTTTTTAATAGAAATGAGTTGCAAACTCAATTTTTTAAAATGAGGTGCAAAGTTCAATATCACCTAAAGTGTAAGGTGCAAAATCAAAATTCCCCTTTTATCAAACATTCAACTTTTTTTTGAAATAATCCAACTTTTTATTTGACGGGTGTAATAATAATAATAATAATACGAGTAATGAAGATTCAAATTACTTGTTTTGACCGTATTGGTTAAAGTACTTCTAAAAAGACCATTTTAGCTATTTTTTAGTATAATTTTTTCATTGTTTTATTATTAAATCATACTACCTCCGTCCCTTTTTATTTAGCCAACTTTGACTTTTCTGATCAAAGATAATAAACGTTGGTCCATTATTTTAACTAATATATTTATGTAAAAGTTAATAAATTTATACTTTTATGATAGTATTTTCAACAAAGAACATTTTCGTATTATTTTCATATTATTAATATTACGTACCGTGAATAAATATATAATCGGTCAAAGTTGAACAACTTTGACTTCAAAAACAGTGTTTGGCTAAATAAAAATGGACGGAGGGAGTAATATTTTAATAAAATTATACTATGTATTTACAACATATTTTATTAATTAAATAAAAAAAAAATGAAAAATAGCTAAAATGATTCTCTATTGCAATTTCAGTCAGAAAAATATCTTCAACCTTAGATATTTTGATTATTACATAATTCAACGCACAAAAAACTTACGTGTTTGGTGAAAGAGTTGATTGATAAAGTTGATAAAATGTGGTCACTAAACCGGCTCATAGGCGAAGTTTTTTATAGATACAAACAAAATTGAAGTGCATCTAATCCATCACTCTTTACTCTATGAAGTCATAAGAGAAAAAATTGTTTTTCATATGATTTTCATTTTCACTTTCCTACAAAGTACAAACTATATACGATAGTATATGATCACACAAGTACTTTGCGTGCGTATAGTTATATTACCTCGGTTCTATTGGACATTGAATCAGATGAAAAATAGAAAAAATAAAACTAATATGGTTGAGTTTTGTACAGAATCACAATTTTGTTTGGACTAATGAGTATAACAATAATAGCTTTCATTTGGTAACAATTTGATGGTACGTAATATATCTAGAAAACATTCAATTTGATTACAATTATGAGCTTGGTCTACTTGCATGCATTGAAGTATTGCGCATTTGCGCCCACAGATGAAAACGATGACAACTAGCTTGGTACTTGGGAGGTGACCTAATTTTACGCCCAACATATATAACCAAAAAAAAGTAAGTACCAAATTCAAATCTTGGAACCGTATTGTACTGTCGTGTGATATCATTGCCAATTCATACCTACTTTGCCAAAGAAAACTATCGGAACGCTCACAAACCGAACAAAACTAAGAAACTAGGGACGTAAAAAAAAATTGGCATGCATTGGTATCAAACTCAAGTTCTCAACCATATGTTACCGAATTGGAAAAAGGAATTTTATCTATTCAGGATTCGAAAGATAGACGAATTATCAATCCGGGACCTGAAAGATGAAATGTATCGATATAGGACCCGGATGATGGAAAGCTATCCATTTAGGATCTGAATGATTGAAAATTATCAATCCTAGATTGATAGTTTTTCATCATTCGAGTCTTATACCGATACATTTCATCTTTCGATCGGGTCTCAGATTGATAATTTATTTATCTTTCGGGTCTCAAATTGATAATTAATCTATCAGTAATAGTTTTCCAATAATTGTTTCACGCCAAATGAGAATCGATACCGGACAAGACCGTAGTACATAGAGATTAGTGAGAGAATTCCCTAAATAGGAGTAAAAATGTTTTGAAATTCCAAAATAGGAGTATCATGTTTTTATTCCCTAAATAGGAGTAAATTTCTGCCAAGTTTGGAAATTACAAGGCTTTAAACATGGCATTTTTTCCCAAACTTGGCAGATTACTCCTATTCAGGGAATAAAAAACATGATACTCCTATTTTGGAATTTCAAAACATTTTTACTCCTATTTAGGGTAATTTCTGTAGTACATATTCAAAGTTCATTTGTACATAATATATTTCTTGTAATAAGTCGTCCTTAACACCGATATACATACTCCTTTTCTTAACTAGTTCACTTATCACTGCTATTGCACTCAACTTGGTTATTACTTTTTAGCTTAGCTAGTTCATATTTGGTTGTGCTTTAAACGTAACTCTTTAATTTCATTGTTAAATTTGCAATGTAAAACTTGAAAGTTTAGCTACTATACATACCAATGGAGATAAAAAAGATATTTCAAATTCATACATTCTATCAACAAAACTCTTTCTGGTACTCCGTATTACGACTATCATTGCTAGGTGGTGCAACTTGATTACCTCAATTCTAATTTTGTGACACTACTTGAGTGTTCGTAAGTTATTTTATTTAACATTATGATTTTTTTAGATCAAATGATGTTAGAAGGAAATTGATACAAGGTGAGAGCATGTAGTATCTTATGTTTAAATATCCTTACTCTTGATTTAATGTACTCCGTATTGTACTACTTAAACGCAACATAATTATACGGAGTATTAAGTACTCCCTCCGTTTCTAAAAGAAAGTCACGGTTTGACTTCACGATTATTAAGGAAATAAATTGACTTTACTGTAGAAAACACTGTTTACACACTGTTTGGCACTGTTTGGACACTGTTTGGCACTGTTTGACACTGTTTGATACTGTTTGGATGTAGATTTCTTTGCCAAATAAGGAAATAAGGGAAGTGTGACTTTTATTTTGGCACATCCAAAAAAGGAAAGTGTGAGGTTCTTTTAGAAACGGAGGGAGTATGTAATTTGAAAATTGATCGAGTGAAACTTTGAAATATAACTAAATTTTGATGGTATGCATCCGTTATATGATGAAATTTAGTTTCTTTTTAAACAATTATTATAAAAAGTTACATCCTTTGACATTGGTAACATATTGCTAAAAGTGGAGTATTACAATTATTATAAAAAGTTACATCCTTTGACATTGGTAACATATTGCTAAAAGTGGAGTATTACAAAATGACTTTAGATCTAAAATCAAACTATGTGGGTGTTTGGTAGAGAGCCTATCCACCATATTTTGGCTTGTTTGACTATATTTAGCCTTTTGACCAACTAAATCAGTTAATCAAAGTGTTTGGTTGACTGGCTTTTACAATTGGCTTTTACAATTGGCTTTTCCGCATCTTCCTGATACTGCCCACGCATTTCTCCATTTCTGCTCCTACTTTGCCGAAAATTTGAGAGAGATCCCCCAACCCATACCAGCTTCCACCGTAGTCCGTAGAGCAAAAAATCGGGTGCAAGGTTAGCTATTTGTATTTTGTAATCTCTGATTTGCAAATATACGTGTAATCTTACGTACTCCTCTTCCGTCACACGTTAAAACCAGGGCATACATTCGTGGAGGAGATGAAAGACAATTGGGTTTTCAGTTAATCGTAAAAGGCTAGGGAGGTTCAAGATAGTTGAAAGCATTTTGATGTTTTAGTCACACTTATTGTATTCTCTAATTAGGGCCAAATTACTAAATTGGTAAAAAAAAAGGGCTATTTGATAGATTGGTAAAAAAAATCATTTGAGACAAATTGGTAAAAAAAAAAAACCTAGTGACAAATTGGTCAATTTTTCGAGAGTGACACAATTTTGATCCCCGACTTCAGAATTTCCGACATTTCATATTATAAGTATTGTGAAATTGACATTTGCAGTCCTTTTACTTTGATTTTGTCATCAAAAGTGGAGGTCTAAAAATGTCAACGACCGTGTTTGATAATAGCGGTTGTCTACTAGCTTATAGTCGTTTGAATCAACATATTGACAATAGTGAATTTCACTAGCTTTTATAACTAACCGATTTCTTTAGAGTTTGAAATAAAATATTAGTAACTTTACTATTTGCGATTAAATCTTAAGACGTAAAATAACCATTAAAAATATGGATTTAAAAGTATATATATATTTATCTTACCTTTATTTCTTTTATTTTTATTTAGTCTTTCAAAAGGTCTTTTTTTTGTCAGGAAAACTCACCTTATATTAATATCATTAGAAATGGATCGTTACATCAAACACATAAAGACCACTAATAACGACTATCCTCCACCCATAACGATCAACAACCCTACGAGTAGACATAGAAACAGTCACCCCTGAAAGAGCAACATAAATCGCTAAACGTGTATCGGGTTTAAACCAGCTATAGCTAACCAAAAAGATCCCCAAACATCTAACAACATAATACTTAGCTGAACTCCCAGTCCCCTTAACTAAACAAGCAACAATGACATCAAGAATGAAACTGACAACAAAACAAATTAAAACACAAGAATGGGAAAAAACAAATTCGACTGAAAATAATAAATAATAACTAATAAAGCATTCTTCCAAACCCTGATCGCGTAATTCCTCCATGGCGGCGGTTCAGGAGGGGGGCAAGTAATCCACATGCGGTGATCCCCTTCCTCCTCCACTTGAAGCACCCAAATCAACCACGTTGATCCCCCAACAGCCAACTGAAGCCCAAATTCACCCCCTTTCATCACGACCCATACTGCCAGTGTTCCACTCGGGTCAAACACAATTGGTGCAGCTACCTTCCCAGCCCCATCAGAGCCAAAATAGCCAAAACCATCAATAGACAATCGGGTCTTACCATCCGAGCCGACGCAGATCCAATATCGCATGATGCGTGGATACCTGCCGCGAGTTGCTGTCGAATCAACATCCTACTTGATTGCTTCCTTGCATCAATTATGCTGGACTCCATCTCGCCGAGAAAACTTCGTTGTGAGTGAAAGCAAATTGCTGCGAAACGGAAATATTGCGGACGAAAAAGGTGAAGAAGCTTGCGTGAGAAAACTCCCCGCGGATTAAGAAGCTGCCGCACCAACAACCATGTGATTGCTTGCCGATCGATCACAGAGTCCCTTGTAGCCACTCCTCTCCCAATCGGTCACACATAGACTGGATCACTGTCCTGGCCGTGAAAAGAACCTCAGAGGAAACCCTTCCCTATCTGGACAGACACCATAATATAGCGCCGCCGCCCAATCTAACCCTAGACCGATGCTAGGCACTTCCGCTGATTTTTTGAACTTAATCTTTCAAAAGGTTTTAAAAATTATATTTTTTAAATAACCATGGAGTAGATTTAAAAAAAACTAATAAATAGTCATATGGAGTAGGTTTTTTAAATGGAGTATATTTAAAAAAAACTAATAAACAGTCATATTTAAAATACTAATACTAAAAATATATGAGTTTATATTTGTGTACTCGCATCAATATACATATCTTAAAAATGATAGTGTTATTAATTATTTAAAACTAACGTAAACATATTTTTAAAAACTTTTTCCAAGACATACTAAAAATAAAAAGAAATACAATTTATTTAAATATATAAACTTTTAAATTCATTTTTTTAACGGTCATTGTACGTTTGAAAAGCTAATTGCAAATTTTATGTTATTTACATTGTATTTCAAAATGCTAATGAAAGCGGTTAGTTCAAAAAACTAATGGAATGTCGGGAATTTTAAAGTTGAGGATCAAGAGTTTATCACTCTAAAAAAATTAATCAATTTGTCACTAGACCATCTTTTTTTTTTTTACCAATTTGTCTCAATTGGTTTTTTTTACCAATCTGTCCAACAACCCTCTTTTTTTTTTTTACCAATTTGGTAATTTGGCCCTCTAATTAGTTGTTTGAAATGGAAAACATTCAGTGTTTGAACATTAGGAGTGTTTTCCATGTCCATTTAATTGAGTGGGTTATTAATTAAAGAAGTAGAGATTTAGAATATGGGTAGCCTTTTTTTTTAAACGAGGACTCGGGGAGGCTTATATTAAAAATAAAACATTCAGCAAGGGACACAAACGACAAAGGAAACACTTCCAGCCACTGACCCTCGGACTAACTGGAGAACCAATCACCCTAGTTGGAGCAATATGATTCGCTTGTCCTGTAATAGGTCTAAATGAGCCAAACGTGGCCAGAGCAAAACCCTCATCACCCTCACCTAATGTAAGAGTCTTGAAATAAAAGTTGCAAAAGACAACAACGACAGCATTCATGCCAAAGAAACTCCAGAAGTGTAAAACGAAATTAAATAAAATAAACTGACAGAGGAAACGGATCCATGCTCCAGACATCATCCTTGGCGGTGGCTCAGGAGAGGGACGGATCATCAAACCTTCTTCTTGAAAAATTCCTTGCAAGCCCACTACCACGAGTTCCAATGATATATTTCTGACTCTTGCGAAACCAGGATCCCTGCTTGACGGAACCTCCCCAATCAAAGCCAGTAGCGTAACCCGAGCCACAACAGCATGTTCCAAATCTACCCAAGCCATGCTCTGTTCGACCCTTCCAATCTTGTTAATCACAATAGTCCCAAGCCCCTGCTATGGAAACGTAAAGCCAAACTGCCGAAGCCAAAAGCAGTTTACCCCAAATGAAGGAGATCGGCACTCCTAATCTCCAGACAAATCTCTCCTTTAGTCTCAAAGCCAACAACCGAGCCAGACGATTTCTCCACTCGCGATCGAGGCTGAAGAAACGCCGCCGGAGAATACCTAACCCTAAACCCTAGGGAGACGTCCGCTCTTCGTGTGTCAACTAGAATATGGGTAGCCTGATTAATCAAAATTTCATTATTCTTGAATAAATGTAATAATTCATGAAAAAATGTTTAAAATATTTATTACGTAGTACTTGTGATGATTCCTTTTTAGTTTTTAAATCATAAAAACACTTATATTAATGAAATTAATTAATTAATGTCCTTAAAAGTCACTTAACATGTTATTAGTCGATTATAATCAGCTATTTAACCAAACACCATTTAACAAACCGCTAATCGTATCAGCTAATCAAAACAGTCAATCAAAACTGCTGTCATCATCCAGCTAATATAATCAGTCAACAGCTAACAACCAACAGTCAATTGTCAAACACCCCTTATATCATTTAACTAGTCAGGTGCAGGTATGAATTTGCACAAAATATTTGAGTGTCTCGAACTTTGCCCACCCCTAGGATGTTTTCTTTTAGACTGTTTTCAGTCCCAGACCAGACAGGATCAGACTTAAACAGACCTAACCTGACTTCCATAGTTATAAAATACACAGAGACCAGACGTTTACCAGACCAGACCAGACCAGACCAGACCAGTTCAGACCATACTAGATCAGATCAAACTTAAACAGACCCGACCAGCAAATTTTAGTCCAAAAGAAAACATCCTAGGTGAAACACTATTTGAAATGTCGGCTAATATAGACCCCTCATTTGGTGGCTGGGTCGGCTAGCTTCACCCTACCATCTCCGTCTTGGATGCAGCAACTCCGGCAGCCAGCTATCCCACCGGCCCATCTTACAAAATAGCCCACAAGACAATACAGTCCACGGCTGGAGAATGGTAGATAAGGCCGAATGGACTTCCGTAGTTAAGGCCCATGGCCCCCCAAGAATTTGTATTTTTATTTTTAAAATACATACATATACAGATATACTTCGGTATATAAAAAAAAGTTGCAGCCCTCCCCCACACATATAAATTTCATTTGCCCCCGATTTTTAATTACATAATTTTTTTTGCTCAAAGAAGACTTAATTCATAAAAATAGCATTCAGCAAGGATACCAAACTAGAAAAAAATCACAAATAACCATCCGTCCGTGGCAGAGACTGAGAGCTAACCACCTGTAAAAAAACAGTATAACTCGCTAGACCAATATTGGGCAATAAAGAGCTAAAGACTGTTACCGTAGAATCTTCCTCCCCCCGCCCTAATGCAAGAGTCTTACAGTAAAAAAAAGTACCAAAACATAGAAACACAGAGCAATTGGAATTAAAAAAACCAAAATAGATAAATAAAAAGACACCAAAACAAGTATTCTTCTCCACCACCAGCCAGAACGGCGGGTCTATGATAACCAATTACCTAGGTAAACCAATTACATATTTATTGAGTGTGAAAATTAAAAAATGAGAAAACCAATTAACTAGGTAATACGTTAGTTTGTGTTGATTGTTGCTACTTTGTCAAGTTGAATTAAGAACTCAGAGAACGAAAAGCGAAGGTGAAGGCTGAAACTCTGATTTGGGTGAAAACTCAAAAACTCATACTCTCTCTTTTAGTTTATGAGAATGCAAGTTTACTGCTACTCCCATCCGCACATCACATTTACTTTTTCGAGATGTTCCAGAAAAGTTTTTATTCCACAATTACGACTATACATTTTTACTTCAATCTCACATAAATTTATTAATAGGTATGTCAAGTTAAGCTGAAAAGAGTTTTTAGATGTATTCTCAAATTTATTTGTTAAGATAATGTGAAAGATGAAGAAGAAGTTTATATCGAGATCCACTTTAATCAAAGAATGTGACGGGGATTTTATTTGTTTGAAGGAACCATGATCATAATGTTAAGGTATCTTTGTATTAACACTCATTTGGAATAATTTACTTTTGTCCACTTGATTTTTTCTTATGCCTACTTCGCACTATTTTGTGGATTCAGTATAAAACTAAAATATTTAAGAAAACCAAGTTTGAAATTATGGCCCCCAAAAGATAAACTTTTTGGGTCCGTCACTGTGCGACTGAGACTCCTTACGATTTATTTAGCAAAAACTTACTTAGTTTCGAATCCGAGACCTCCCGTAAGTGAGAGTGAGTCGGCGACCAGTTGGGCCGTGGACCGCTTCCACAGCAAAAACTTACTTTTTAAGTCAGTGATATTAAATTTTGACCAATTATATATTTATACACGGTAGTATTGATAATATGAAAATGATATGAAAAATGTTATTTGTTAAAAATATTGTCATAAAAGTATTTGCCAGTCTAATCGGATCAATGTGATGTAAAGTATAATATCCGAGTATTCATAAAATCAGAAATGTCATGGTTAATATATCAAAATTTCATGTATAAAACTGAAAATATTAAATTTTTACTACATACTAGATGTGTAATCTTTCTTTACTATATATAAGAATACATGTGTTGTGATTTCATTCTTTCTTGATAAAATGAATTTAAGATCTGTCGTACGTATGAAGATTCGAAGAATTGAGGTTTGAAGATTCGAAAATCTGATGAACAAGGCTTTAATTTGAAGATTCAAAGATCTGAAAAACGAGTCTATAAAGATTTGAGGATATGCATATCAATATTGAATTAAGATTTTTAATATTTTTAGATTTAATTGAAGATCAATCATATATGCTGCAGAAGCCCTTTAACATAAGGTCAAGCTAGTAAAAACGCCAATTTTGTTAAAGAGTGAACTACTTGAAAATGGGAGGATGATCACTCATTGAGCTACACCCACCTAACCATTTTTGAGGTTTCATTCAAATCTGGTTGTCTGTGGCTGTACTCACGTACAAATTTTGGCCTATTTGTGACTTCAGATGTGTTAGATTCGTCATGTGTGTTAAAACAACAGTATTATAACTATATGTGGAGAGAAAATAGAGAACTATTATTACTTGGCTTGGGCCAAACCGATGGGAAGTTTTTCTTAATATCAACTCATAATTACTACTAGTATTACTCTCAATGGCTAGAAGTACATTTTAGTAACAAAAAATGATTATCTTATAGAGACATGCACATAAATTTGCAAATAATACATAATGTTGTATTTTCACAAGCAAAAACTCAATAACTTAAAAGTAGTAGCCATAAGCCATATATCAGTTTACAAAATTATACAACATACATATCTATATATAAATTTCAATCATAAGAACATTCCAGCCATCCTTACCCAACAATAAGTAAGGTTATACTCCAAAATAATAATCTCACTCTATGTAAGGGCAAGTTTACTTGTCTAACGAGTCATCCATCTATTTGGTAGTTCACTCAAATGTGATGATAAATATAATCAAATGGATCAATACTTGGCAGATGGAATTGAATCCCAAGCCGAGTCTGCATTGGGGCGTATCGGCATATCTAATGACATTTCCGAGACACTCCACACTTTCACTGACTTGTCAAGGCTCCCACTATAAACAATCCACCTTTGATCACTCTCGCTCGATTCCTTGTCTTCGGTCACAGCTAAACACTTGACGGGCCCGTTATGGCCCGTCAAGATCGATAGACAAGTGTGGACCGACCCTTCTCTCTTCCACACGCAAATGGTCTTATCTGCTGATCCACTGAACACAGTGTTCCCCGCTGCTGCAAGGCATAGCACGGCTAATTTGTGTCCCTTGAGGACCCCACCGTGTGACATCTCTTTCTCCCTCTCCCAGAAATTCACCACCCCGTCTGACGACCCGCAGTACAGAACCGACCCGGATTTGTTTACGGCTAACGCTGTCACCGCGCACTCTTGACTTAGGAGTGTCTGAACGGAGATATGTTTGACCCCTTTTCCAGTGGATTCTCTCCTCCATACCTTGACGGTCCCATCGGCGGAGCCGGTGTAGACCATCCCGCCGGAGCTCGCCACGACGGAGTTGACGGCGTCGTCGTGGGCCTTGACGGATTCGAGGCATTTCGAGTTCCCTGCCCTCCACACCTTAAATGTCCTGTCCCAGGAAGCAGAGTACAAAAGCCCTGCCTCCGGCTCCATGCTCAGGCAAGAAATGGCATCGCAGTGCTTAATCCAGAGGGCGGTGCGGTTCCGCTTCACCTCGACGTAGTTGCTCGGCTTGATCGACGCCTTAAATATGTCGAAGAACGTCGGGAAAGTCCCGGCCCGTTTGTGGACGGATGGGTTCTTGGGGTTCACCTTCCAGACCCGGACCTTGCCGTCCTGGTGGCCGGTGAAGATCTTGTCGCCGGAGATTATAATCGCCTTAACAAGCCCACTGTTTGATTTGAAAGCCCCGAATTCCTTCATCTCCTTCCAGACCCGGATGTTCTTGCTGTCGGAGCCGGTGTAGAGAATCCCGTCGCGGGCGGCGAGGGAATAGATGTGGCCCTCCTCCCGGACGAGGGATCCGACGAGGCCGTTGAGGGGGAGCTTCTGGGAGGCATTGCCGTCGCCGTCGGCCCAGGGGGTTTTGGTGAAGGCGGTGCTCTGGTTCCACGGCGACATCATCATGGGAGAGCCCTCGCCGCTGAGGCGGCTGGCCTCGAAGCCGGAGTAGCTGCTGTTGCGGTTGTTGAATTCGTCTTCGCCGGCGGAGGAGGAGGACATGTTGGGATCGGAATTGGGCGCCGCCATTGCGTTGCCGGAAGCCGTCTCTGCGGGGGAATCAAAGTCGGCTTTGTGAATTCTGGCAGGATCATTCCAATTCCCAATTTAAATGAGGAATGTTAGTTGAGGATAAAAAATGGGAGGAAGATCGAAATTAATGGGCAGAGAATATGAGGGAGGAAGAAAAGGAGAGAAAAGAACCAGACCGTACAACAGAGGAGTGAAGGAGAGGCTTTGTAGGAGGAAGCTCCTGGACACAGAAAATGATGCATCTATATATATAAATGGAGAAGCATAAAGTATCATTGGTGCATGAGCGGGATGATGGGATGCCATATTCAACATTGGAACGTGCAACTCCTCTAATTTGACCTATGTGTGGGAACATTAATCATATCCCCTTCTTACAATCTAAATATTTACAAGTTACTCTATACTCCATATACTTCATCTGTTCTTTTTTAATAGTCCGCTTACGATTTAACATGGGTTTTAATAATAATTAAAGTAGTAGGATAAGTATAGATTGTGTAGAGTAAATGATAAAGTAGGAAAAGTGGTATATTAAAAAGAGTAAAATGATTATAAAGGAGGAAAGAGAGTGTATTAAGAAGAGTAAAGTGATGGTAAAGTAGGAAAGAGAAAGTGGTTTGTAAAAAGTAAGTAAGGTAAAAGTAATAAAAGTGGGGGTATTTTCTCAAAAACTTTTCTTAAAGGGAAAAGAGGACAAATAAAAAAACGTCCCTAAAAGGAAAGAATGACTAATAAAAAAGAATGGAGGGAGTAAATATTATTGAATCTAAAAAAATTTGGACATTATAAAAGTTGGTTACTCTGCCCATTTAACGGAACACAAGTAAACTAAAAACTAAAAACTGTTTGGTTGAACTTCAAACATACGGAGTAGATAGTATATGACAAAAGTACGTAATACCATCTATGAAGAATTTTCACCTTGGAAGGAAAGTTGTTTGGATAGCCAAATTAGAGAATTTTGTAAAGTGGAGTGATATAGTGGGAGGTTTTAAAGAGTACTCATATAGCGCACATATTTTTTGTGGGGTGTTTACTAAAAATGTGGTGTCGTGGTCATGTTTGGTGCTAATTTTTTTGGTGATATAGGGATATAAAAGACCATATATTAGAGGAGATATATCAGTATATCAATTTTTTGGTCATATATGTTGTACTGACTACATGTTTGAAATTTATTAAGATCAGAGCATCTTCAAAGTTAGTTGTTCTTGCATGTCTATAGCTACACCCTCTTCCTCATAATTTTTAGTTAGATATTGTAGATTTGTACATAGTATTTGGTAGTTCTCTTTTTCCAAAGCTAGTAATTCGATCATTTTGGCTAATTATTTTAGACTTGCAAGCAAATCTTCTAAACAAACCATTGTAGCTACTCTAAGAAAGTAAATCTAAGCTAAGACGGTGTTAGCGGGGGTAGCAAAATGGAAATGGTGAGATGGGCTTGATAAATGAGTTTGGTGATATACTCCATCCGTCCAATTTTATTTAGCCAAACACATTTTTCCAAGTCAAAGTTATTCACGTTTGACCAATTATATATTTATACACGGAAATATTGATAATGTGAAAATTATATGAAAATGTTCTTTGTTAAAAATACTATCATAAAAGTGTAAATTTATTAAGTTTCACATAAACATATTAGTTAAAATAATGGATCAAAGTTTATCTAGTTAAAATAATGGAAAAGTCAAAGATGGCCAAATAAAAAGGGATGGAGGTAGTAATGTTTTTCTAGTTTTTACCCAAAAAATAAAACATGTTTATCGAACTTGGGTTGATCCTGGACATGGTATGTCTCCGCTAGCTATGCCAGTGTGCAAATATATTGTATGAATGTACGATGCTATTAAATTGAAAAATATATACGCTTGAGATTTAAGGTTCTCGAATTAAGTATAAAGTATGTATAGTAGGGAATATTTATTTTTGAAGTAAATATGATATGGAAGTATATATGCCTAATATGCTCATAGCTGTGTTATATTTTTTTGTATTTGTTTTTCACATTATTATGACCACGGACATGGTATGAATTGTTTGTACATATTCCCCTTTTTATTAATCACTATCAGACACTTCGCCTAGACTGATCGTGAGGAGGGGTGTGAAGTTTCACACCGGAAACTTATAAAGTAATAAAGTGTTATATTAAGATTTGTGTTATTCCTCCTATCAAGTTGGCTTTTTTGGGATGGAACCCCAAATCTTAACAATATGTAGTAAATTTATTTAGTTTTGGAAGGTAATTTTAGGTTGTATCATCTGAAGTATTGGTTGTGTTGTGATACTGCATTCATTTTATTGTGTGAAATGTGATGGTGGATTTGGAATTCAATTGAACTTGAACGCACAGGTCAGTTTCAATTGAATTTTGAGTCAGCAACTTGAACACATTCATATGATCATATCATGTGTAATTTTATTTTTGAATATAACTTGTGAGTTGTGATTTGTGAGACAGCAACTCGATCATTTTGAGTCTTCTCGTTTTTCTTGTATAGATGAAAGACTTCGTTTCATATTGCATTACTTTTCAACTCTTGTATGAATGAAAGACTTCTTATCAATGTAATTAACACATGAAATCTCATTTAATAATTTTTCCAATCATTCTTTTTTAAATTTACTCCAGATTTTTAAGGCAAAAGAAGTAAATGATCCGGCCATACGCGTACGAAGCACAAGCTTCAGACACCAGAAATAAGCTAAGAATAAGCATAGCACATTTTAATTTCTCGAATACGTGGATCATTACTTAATTTCTTTCATATATATTAGGACTAGCTCACTCATATTTTGGAAAATTTTAATTAAATTATTTTATTAATAGGATGCTGGCATTTAAAAGAATGGATATGTATATAGGAATTTATGAGAAAGTATAGCAAAAAGAATATTATGTTTGTGCAATTTCATGTATGTGCATTGTGCAAGTACCAAAAATATTGTACTGTATAAAAAAGCATTCTCAATGTGCATGAATAAAAGTGTTCTACTTGCAAAAATCACACAAACCTCCTTCTCCGAGTATAATTATCGAGCATATATATATATATACAATGTTCTAAAAGGCGCTAGGCGCTAGTCGGGCACCAGACCAACGCCTAGCGCCTAGGCGGCTAGGCGGGCGCCTAGGCGGGGACTAGTCGGAGACATAGAAATTGCATTTTTATCTATATTTTTTGCATAAATATGATAAGTAATATTGTATTTTTGTGTGTATAAAATACATATATACATATACATTAAAAAACATGAATGATAGAATTATCACATTTAATCATACGTAGTATATGATAACTAATTACTTAACTTCATTATGTTATAAATATAAATAATGATAAAATTTAGGCATACATACAAACATATATATTTTTATCTTAATTTACAACTTCATTTCTTTATATTCATGGATAAAGTTAAAGTATACATATCGCTTAGAAAGTTAAAATTAAAAAGTAAACTAATGTTTGGCGAATCTAGACGGCCTAGGCGGCCGATTAAGCGCTCTAGGCGGACAACTAGGCGCCATAGGCGGCCGACTAATTCACCTAGACGGCAAACCAATTAGTCGGAGAGCCTAGACGAAAATCGGGGCGCCCGACCACCGCCTAGTGCCTAGGCGGGGACTAGTCGGACGCCTAGAATGATTTTTAGAACAGAGTATATATATATATATATATATATATATATATATATATATATATATATATACACACACACATATATATATATACACATATATATATATATATATAGAGAGAGAGAGAAATGCTCAGGTCCCTCCGGAGGGACGGGAGCAGCCATCCGAACTTCACTATTTGGGGGCGGTTCCCAGTGGAATTTTTCAATGAAATTTTTTGAGCATGTTCCTCATCAAGTCTAGTTTGTCCATGCCAAATTTCAGCTCAAAATTCGACCGAGAAGGCAGTCAAATAAATTCTTGAAACTTACTGCACATTCTGCGCATATATAAAGTGCAGTAAGTTTCAAGAATTTATTTGACTGCCTTCCCGGTCGAATTTTGAGCTGAAATTTGGTATGGACAAACTAGACTTGATGAGGGACATGCTCTCGTCCCTCCGGCTGGACCTGAGCAGTCCTCTTTATATATATATTGCAAATTGATAAAGTATGTATATTTTATAACTATCAAAGTTTGTTCGATTTGATATGACCTTTTGTATCTGATTTGGTTTGTTTAAGATTAGTGTGGTCTGATGCACTCTCTATACATGCAGGCATGGGTAGACGTTTGTGAGAGTATAATCTACATTTAATTTGGAGTTCACTCCCAATTCAAGCTTTGGTAACTTTTGGTCAAGTGCTTTGAGATTGCGCATATATGCACGAATGACGGATGGATTAAGATAATGACAATTAGAAGACAAGTGATTAGTGAGGGGTATATAGATAGGTTGTTGTATAATGCATAATTGCATATTACATGTTCTTGCGTTCTTTCCCATTGAATATAATGTCCACAAATGAGTGGTCATGATGTGACCAAATATTCCCAATATGGTGAATTCAGGTTTCTTAAGACATCCAAGCCGTCGGGTTCAAAGTCCCCTTTAACGGTCTATTCGTCACTGTACCTGGAGACGTCTCCAGCTCCATGGCTGCCATCTGGCCTCTTTACAAAAGTAAAAATAGACCCACCAACCAATTTTCTTTTCTCAAGCTAAGTCAGTCGCATATGTTTTTTTCCATATTTTACTTGGACTTTTCTACTAATTAATGTTGTGGTGGTTTCAATATATTTATCTAGCTTGGAATTTAGGATCCGTTTGGTAGTTTACACATTAAAACTTTACACGTAAAGTGATTGTATGTAAAGTTTAGGGCCGTAAAATAGTTTGCATGTAAAATAGAAACACGCCGTTTGGTCAGTAATTTGTTTTTAAATTATACGTAGTACATAAACTTTCTCAAACGAGTTTACACTTTACATGTAAAATACTCATTGAACGTGCCATAGAGCTTTTGATGACAGTTGGCCAGCAACTTTTAATTTTGAGGACTACTCACTTCAAAGTTGTACTCGTAAGTCGTAACTTAATTTGAAACTTCCAGATTTTTTTTTAAATCTTCCAGAAAAATATAAATCACTAAAAAACAACTACCTAGAAGACAACTATACGAGCAGTGCGTATATATTTGATCTCAAAACTAAATACCAAGTATAATAGTGGCTACACTTAAGCTTTTAA